GGTGCTGGGCTCCTGGCTGTCCCTGGCTTCCCTGACATACACCTTGGGAGCTCCATTACTGTGCACTGGTCTGTGTTGACACAGAGTGTCCACTCGTGTGATGATGCCAGGTGTGCTGATGGGCTCAGGTTGCTGGGCCCTAGCCACTCCCACTGCATCCTTCTAGGGAAGACCCAGGATCTTCCAAAATGGTGGGACCTCCTCGTGGTGCAGGAAGAAGCACCCTGATGGCCGTTAGGGAGGTAGCCAGCTGCTCAGTCCACAGCACAGGAACCTTCTGCTCCACGTCTCTGCACTGCTCAGGTTTGGTCGTCCACCTTCACGTCCACTCACACTCTCTCACACACTCGCTCACTCTCTCACACACTCACCCTCTCTTTGGTCCTGCCCACCGCCATCTTCTCAAAAACCCATAGTACATTACTTATTCTGAAATACTTTTTAGTAAATCATCACCGTGATAAAATAACAACTTATCTCCTTATTTGCTCACCAGGATAATATACTCGATGATGAAATGATAGCACATGTCCCTGATTTCTACCCACATCAAGGGGACCGTACAATCCTTCATTCCAAGCTGCCTTTCCTAGAAAACCTATTTTAATATAGTAACTCAGCTGTGCACAGCTGAACACTAATGTATAATAGACTTTGTGTTAGTCATTGCTTAGTAAATACTTGTCTAACAAGTAAAGGACCTATGGATTGTGATACTCAATACCTAGCAAAAAATGTTTCTTGGATAAATTATTGTCTTTTTCACAAAGGAAATTACTTTCTATTGTGTATATGTTTTTCTATGATTATGAAATGATTTATAGTCATTCAAAAAAATTTACAATATTTTGAAAAATATAAAACAAAATATTATCGCTAAATTCGTCCATTAGTAAGAAATAAGTTAATTTGGGAGTACATATACTTTACGTTTTTACATACTAATTATTGATTTATATATTTTTTTGTAAATAGAATAATTTTATATATACCATAAATAGAATTATTCTCGGTTGTAGGCAGGATTTAGGGAGACCCGGGAAACCCAGAAATGATTGCTGTGGACTTCCGGTCAAGATGGCGGCGTAGGTAAACGCGGTATCGCGTCCTCCCACAACCACATCAAAGTTACAACTAAACTACAGAACAACCATCATTCAAAACTGCCTGAAATCAAGCTGAATGGAAGTCGTACAACTACGGAATTAAAAAAAAAAAAAAGCAGCCACATCCAGACTGGTAGGAGGGGCGGCGGCACGACGGGCTGGTCCCACACCCAAGCGTGGCGGATAAAAATCAGGAGGCTCCCGCGGCTGGGAAGGTCCTTCCTAAGGACTGAGGGGTCCCCGTCCCACACCAGGTGCCGCGCTCAGGGTTCCAGTGCCAGGAAGAGAAGTCCCCATAACTTCTGGCTGGAAAAACCAGCGGAAACTGAGGCTCAGGAAATCTGACACGGCTGGAGCCCCAGGCAGCTCCTTAAAGGGCCCGCGCATGGGCTTATCGGACTCTCTCCCTCTAAGCTCGGAGGGGAGGCAGCTCGAGGGGCGCCAGAGACATACAGGGAAGAACTGATCTGTTTGGCACTGGAGCGAGGGCTGGAGAGGGGGCTTCCTCGGGGACAAACGTGCTGTCAGAGGTCTTTGTTCCTTTGGTGAGCCCTTCCCGGGGGCGGCAGACAGAAGCCATAACTGGGACCCCAGCAACCAGGCTCACACTGGTAGCCCCGCACTGCTGACTCCCTGAGGCCCCGCCCCACCCCGCCCCACACAACTTTCAAGCCCACCCAAGCTGTTGCCACTTGCTTAACCATAGGATTGGCCGGTCTTGGATCCTGCTTCAGGTTTTTTCTAAATTCTTTCAAATGAGCAGCATCGGGTCTCAGCGAGCCCCATACCTCTCATTAAGTAATACACAGAAACAAACACAGGGAGGCAGCCAAAATGAGGATACAAAGAAACAGGTCCCAAATGAAAGAACAGAACAAAACCCCAATAAAATAACTAAGCAAAAGGGAGATAAGCAACCTAACAGATACTGAGTTCAAAATACTGCTTATAAGGATGCTCGATGAACTTAGTGAGAACCTCAGTGAACTTAGGGAGGGCCTCAAGAGCATAAAAAAGGACCAGTTAGAAATCATGGATACACAGTTAGAATTGAAGGAGGCATTAACTGAAATAAAGAATAATTTACACAGCTTCAATAATAGAGTATGTAAATCCAAGGAGCAAACCATCGATTTTGAATATAAGGAAGCAAAAAATGCCCAATCAGAACAGCAAAAAGAAAAAAGAATCCAAAAAAATGTGGATAGTGTAAGGAGCCTCTGGGACAACTTCAAGCGTGCCAACATTCGCATCTTGGGGGTGCCCGAAGGAGAAGAGAGAGAACAAGAAATCGAAAACCTGTTTGAAACAATAATGGCAGAAAACTTTCCTAACTTGGTGAAGGAAACAGACATACAAGTCCAGGAAGCACAGAGAGTCCCAAACAAGATGAACCCCAAGAGGCACACACCAAGACACATCATCATCAAAATGCAAAAGGTTCAAGACAAAGAAAGAATCTTAAAAGCAGCAAGACAAAGGCAGCTAGTTACCTACAAGGGAGTACCCATTAGTCTGTCAGCTGATTTCTCAAAAGAAACTTTGAAGGCCAGAAGGGAGTGGCAAGAAATATTCAGAGTGATGAAAACCAAGAACCTACAACCAAGATTACTCTATCCTGCAAAGCTGTCATTTAGAATTGATGGACATATAAAAACTTTCCCAGACAAGAAAAAGTTAAAGGAGTTCATCACTACCAAACCGTTATTATATGAAATGACGAAGGGTCTTTTTGAAGAAAAAGATAAAATGTATGAACAAACAAAATGGCAATGAATACATATCTATCAACAATGGAATCTACAAACAAAATGAACAGGTAGAACAGAAACTTTCTCATAGATACAGAGAACATTTTGTTGGTTGCCAGTTGGGAGGGGGGTTGAGGGAATGGGTGAAAAAGGTGAAGGGATTAAGAAGCACAAATTCATTGCTAGACTGACAAACCTCAAAGGGAAAGGGGTTGGGGGGGTGGGAAGAAATAAACCAAAGAACTTATATGCATAACCAATGAACACAGACAATAGTGTGGGAAAAGGTGGGAGGGGTCCGGGAGTGGGGAGGAGGGGGTCAATGGGGGAAAAATGTGGAACATCTGTAATACATTTTACATCCAACAATAAAGATTTGAAAAAAAAAAAATAGAATTATTCTCAATCAACATGTCCACATTCATCTACAGATAATTATTTTAGTTCATCTGGGAAGGAATTTGGAGGGAAGGCAGCAAGTTCAGTTGTTTGGTATTATTGGTGAATTAAAAGTTTTGCCAACAAGCCAAACAGAGAAAGACAAATTTCATATGATCTCACTTATTTGTGGAATATAATGAACATAACAGTTTGAGGAATGGGGTAGTCCCAGAGACGCGGAAGCGGGGTACAGACTGACAATCCCCTAAGGGTGGGGAGGTGGGGGAGGGATGAACTACAGAACGTATATGCATGTATGCATGAACAGTGGACATGGACAACAATCTGGGGAAGGGGCAGGGAGGGGGGGGAGGGGGGAATCAGTGGGGGAAAAAAGGAGAATCATCTGTAACAAAAATTAACCAATAAAAAAAATAAAAATAAATAAAAAAATAAAATAAAATAAAAAAGTTTTGCCAACAAAGAACGTCCTCTCCATAACAATGTAGAAAAGGAGGAAATCTATGGTATTATTGAGTAAGCAGAACCAAGTACATGCATACAGGTAGACTGAAAGTGGTTAGAAAATGAGGATGAAATTTCACACTATTTATATATCCATGAAGATAAAATCCTTTTGCATTGTTTATAGCCAATATGTAACATGTTCCTTTGAATCACTGGTATCCTCTTTTTACATACAAGCACTGGATAGAGTAATTTACTGTTACATCCTAGACTTTCAGTACCTGTCTTCGTAGAGCTCACCCTATGCTCACTTGAAAACTGAGGTAGCTATTGTTTAATTAAAAACCCTCATCTGAAAGCATAATAAAAGTTTTCTTCTCTCCTTGAAATGAAACAGTTACAGCTAGGATAGGTATATAGATTATGTTCCCAAGGTACACTGCTGGTGGAAATGCAGACTGTTGCAGCCACTATGGAAAACAATATGTTGTTTCCTCAAAAAATTAGAAATTGATCTGCCATTTGACCCAGAGATCCTATGTCTAGGAATGTATCCTAAGAAGCCTGAAACACCAATCAGAAAGAATATATGTACCCCTATGTTCATAGCGGCACTATTTACAATTGCTACGATCTGAAAACAGCCCAGTGTCCATCAGTAGATGAGTGGATAAAAAAGCTGTGGTACATATACACAATGGAGTACTATGCAGCTGTAAGAAAGAAAGATCTCTTATCCTTAGAGACAACCTGGAGGGACCTGGAGAGCATTGTGCTAAGCAAAATAAGCCAATCATATAAAGACAAATACAACACGATCTCACTTATTTGTGGAATATAATGAACAAAATAACCTGATGAAGAAAATAGACCCAGAGACATAAAAAGGAGTACAGTTCAGACTGACAAACCTCGGGGGGGTGGGGGGGAATGAGATAAACCAAAGAACTTATGCATGTAAGCATAACCAATGGACATAAAAAACAATGCTGGGGCGGGGGCAGCATGGGGAGGAAAGTGTCTGGGGAGGGGGGATATCTGTAACAAAAATAAATTAATAAAAATTGAAGGAAAAAAAAGAAACAAACAAACAAAAAAGTTCCCAAGGTGCCAGGGAGCCTGGAGCTCTAGCTTTCTGAGTGTATATATTACAAAAGGGATGAAGCCCAGATATTGGAGTTGTAAAGCTGACAGTGGTTTTATTTAGTCCTGGAGAACTTGATTTATATTCAGAAGTTTAGACAAAAGACACTGGCTCATTGTTTGCAAAGAACAATCTCAAAGGGGATATGGAAATAAGCTTTTATAAGCTTATAAGCATAAGGCATTCACTTTTATTTATCTTGGCATTACACACAATTCTCAGAAAGGTTTGATTGTTCCTGGAATAACTTTTTGGTTGCCTAAAATAAACAAGGGGCTTTATTGGTCAGAAGCAGCAGCTGATTTCTCAGTATTACCCTGTTTCCAAGTAGCCTGCTTTACTTTCACTTTCAGCTTCAAGTTAACAGGAGATGATGTTTCAGCATCTGTTCTGAAATGGACAACAGAATTTTACGTTTATGAAAAAGTTGGGGATAAACTATAGGCCTTATGATTGACAAAATATTAATCAGAAAGACTAAATCAGGGAAGGCAAGAAGAGAGACAGAAGAATTGGTGCATCCTTGACAATTTCTTTCAGATTGGAGTTTAAAATAGCCCTGAACACTATGTACACACTGACTGGTTACTTTTGGATCAGGGCCTATTTTACCAAAACTGTGGATGATTTTGGAGCAGTCTTTAAAATTTCCAGTTATATCACAAAGGATTCCAGATACCAGCAGTTGACCATGGCATTGAAGAAGCAGTGTAGGACATGTTCATTTTGTTTTTCTTTCTTTGGAGAGAACACTTTATAATTATAGGTCTAATTGGCCTTTTTATTTGTGTAAAGAATTCTCCCAGGACAATAAAATATTTTTAAATATATGTGTTATAAGAACATAAAATTGCTAAGATCAAATGTATGCATTAGATGAAATATCACAAAATGAACAAAACTCTGAGTAGATAAAATATTAACATTTGGAATTATCAGTATTTTTCATTTAAGTCATTTCAGTAGGTATGCACTACAATATCATAATGATGTTCATTAGTATGTCTTTTATAATTTATCTTCGACCCTTTTGTAATGTTTATGGTCACTTGAATATCTTCATTTTGAAGTTTCTACATCTTTACCCATTTTTCTATTGAGTATTCTGTCTTCGTAGAATTAATTTATATATTCTGTACACAAACCATTTCTTATTTATATATGGCTTCTCACATAAGTAGCTTGCCTTTTCCTGTTTTAATGGTGTCTTTACATAAACACAATATCTTCAGTTTAATATAGTCAAATTTGTCAATCTTTACAATTGTATTTGGTAAATTTTGTGTCCCTAAAACATCTCCCTATCTTTAAATACTTGAAAGTATTCTTCCATATTATTTTCTAAGGCCTTTATGGTTTTGCCTTTTATATTTAACTCTACAATCCTTCTTATAGACAAAAAGGAAACACATACCAACCTGACAAGTTCAAGTAAGGCCTGTGTGGGAACCTTGCAAACTCAAAGACCTAAAGATACCACAAAGGATGGTCTGAAATTAAAACCTTGTAACTAAATGCACTTTACAGCAGGTAGTCATGTCCCAGGTTGGCTATTTACCTGAAAAATGTTGCTCTTTACCTGAACTGAGCCTATCTGTAGTCTTTTTGAATGTAAAGTAACATGTCTTTAGAATATAATTTTCCTTTTTCCAGATATCTCAATACACAGGCACCACTCTACTAAAATAACAAACCCCTTCATCATTATTGAGTTAATTGTTGAATGTTCATTATCCTGTAACCTCGTATGTAAAAGTAGTATGTGTCTATCATTTTACTTTTCATCCAGTCCCAGAATTTCCCAGCTTTGCTTTCCCATGCCTCCCTAACCATCACCAGTGGACCTACTGTGTGTATTGCAAGCAGCCTCTAAGATATCTCCTAACAATTAAATTGTACATTCCAGTTGGGAACTGGAATCCTCTCAAGCCCTCGCACTGACTTAGCTCTCAGCACATTTTTGCTGAGTGACTCACTGCCTTGGTATGAGTGTTTCCAGTTTCGTTTTAGCCGTTTTGGTTGGTTTTTTTTTTTTTTTTTTTTTTGCAAAAGTTGCTTGTTAGTTTTGGTTTCTAATCATTGGATCTCTGAAGAAAATAAGGGACGTACCAGGACACAGGAGGGGTAAAATAAGAGGCTGAATTGCCTGTGAGAGTGAAGAGAAACCAGTGCAGCAAAACTCAGAAGGAGAAGGAGGAGAAGAAGGAGAAGGAGAAGGAGAAGGAGAAGGAGAAGGAGAAGGAGAAGGAGAAGGAGAAGGAGAAGGAGAAGGAGAAGGAGAAGGAGAAGCATTTTTAACTTTCTCATGGAAGCTGCTGTCTTCTCAACTCCAAAGGACCTGTGCTCCAGGTGAGACTGGGGCAGGCTGGGAAGATTGATAGGGGTGTGGTCATTTTTCTACAATGTCCTTCCCATTGAGAAGCTGCAGCTGATTCCTGGCACAGGATTTCAGAGAAAGTTCCATGTTCTCAGGCAGCAGGATGTCCCTACAGTGCCCAGGGCTCCAGCTCTGTGTTGATCTGGGTTCCAGCAGACGGGGAGCCTGCACTGAGTCTGGAGGGTTTCAGATTGTTATTTCTTCCTTGACACTGAAATTACCTTTATCTTTCATAAACCCCCTTAATAAAGCTCAGACTCCATTTCATTCTGTATTGCAAACTTTTATAGTGCTAGGTAAATAAAAGTTAGGCAACCTCGGGGTCTGCCAAAGAGACAACAAGTTCATGTAATCCGGGAGCTTATGAAATCTTTGTGCAGCCATTTTATCAGAGCCAGTCCTTGAATGATTCCCATTTCATAGAATTATGTCTCATGTTATAAAATCGGACAGAATATCTGCTTGTCAGCCGTCCCTGTGGGCCATTGTTGTAAGAGAAAATGAATCCTAAGCATAGACAAAACTAGTGTAACATTGTATATTAAGTATATTTTAATGTTTAAAAAAGGCTTTCTTTTCCATCTTCCATGCAGAGATAGGAAGCCACATAGGAGGCAGGACTGTCTGTCATTCTATTGGATGTGAGCTCTCAGCCAAAGCAAGTCAAAAGTAAAAAACTTTAAAATGTGAGAAAACCAACCTTTCTCATAAGATAAGAGTAAAAATGGACGTGCCTACAGTCTGTATTTATTTGTATCTCAAAAAACTAACAGATATTATATAATGACCACTTCAAGTGAAAGGAATTGGGACATTATAGCTGAAAAAGGAAAAAGCATAAAGTTAAGAAAGGCATTGCTAAAGGAAGACTTTCCTCTCCTTTTAACTTTATAAAACTATTAAAATTATCAAATCATCAATTTCTGGCCATGTCTAAAATTGTGTGAATAAATATAGAGAGCAGAGTTTAGAGAAAAAACAACCTTTGATTTATAAGATAATGTCTCATAGTTGTAGCTTTATTATCTGAAATAATTAAAAGCAACATGCAAGCCAATAGGTAGAGAAAGGAAAGAACCAATCTGAAAACACAGGAGGTCAAAATCTGGGAACAAAACTGAGTAAACATCAACAGAGTAAGGGTAAACTTTGAGATAACAAGTCTTGGGTGAAAAACAGGCAAATGCAGATACAAAGCAAAGTTTAAGAACCAGTGACCATATGATTTCACTCGTATGGGAATTTAATGGACAAACTGAACTACCAAGCAAAATAGAGACAGACTCGGGGAGAGCAGGCAGACAGCTCTGGTGGGGGTGGCAGTGGTGGGTGAATGTGTGGAAGGATGAGGGAAAAAGAGAGAGAGAACTCATGGACACAGAAAACAGTGTGATGATTGAGGGGATGGAGGTGGAAGAGGGCATAGAGGGGATACATGCTCATGGGAAAAATTAAATGTAAAGAAGAACCAGTGGGTGGGTAAACAGGATGGGTGTGGCAGGGCTGTGGCTTCCTGCACTGGGGGAACAGGAGCCACTGGGATCTGAGTCCCTCTGTGTGATGCAAACCCTGTCCAGGAACAGACCTGGGAGAAACGAGGTCTGAGTCTGGGTCAGAATGCTGTTTCTGTTTCATAGTGCACATACATGTTGTACACAAACTTCTCCAGGTGTAGGCTGTCTATTGCTGCATGCCTGAGCTCAGAGATCTCAGGTGTGTTCAATCTAAATACATAAATGGGAAAATAAACATTTTAAAATAAATTTTTGTAATAAAGTCAGATGTGGACATAAGGAAAACATCTCCATTTTCTAGAAAATGAGATCAAGATGAACTGATGGGAATGCAATCTGGTAGACGCTTCTAGAAAAGAAATTGTCAATATATGACAAAAGTGTATGCCCTTGTCTTTTGACACAACAATCCCACTTCCAGGAATCTATATTGAAGAAAAAGTGAAATTAAATATGCACAATGTTAGCAGGGTTATTCATTGCAGCATGGTTTGTGATTTTAAAATTTGGGGAAGCAATTGAAATGCCCTTACCTAGATAAGAGAGTGGTTGAATAAACTATGGGCTATATGCACAATTGGGTAGAAATCTGTCAAAAAGAATGAGAACGCTTTCTGCGAAGTGACATGCAGTGATTTCCAGATCTCCATACCATTTGATCTTTCATGTTAGAAAATGTGAATGAGGTAATACATGTATTTGCTCATTTGTGAAAAAGATATGTAGGAAGTTTAAACCAGAAACTTGTGACATTGGCAACTTATAAGGGACAGGTGAGAATGGGGTAGTAGAAATAGGAAGAATAGTAAAAGGAGAACAGAATGGTAAAATGAGGGGGAAATGACATTCTTCTGAGTGTACCTGTTTGGAAAGTTCCCACTGTTAGAAACATGTGATGTTGCACATACTAAAAAAATAAACACACACTTGAAATCAACCAAGATGCTGGGGAGGCTGAAATAAAACATAAACAGTCCTGTGAACCTGACTGCATTCCAAAGGAATAATTTCACTACACTGAACTAGATGAGGAAGGAAAGAACTGATCTAAACCCTTGAAATACAGTGTTCTGACTGTATACATAAGCTAAAGATACAAAGAACTGTACACCACTGATATACTCTAATTAATCTGTTTATTTATCACTGAAGTATGAATTTAAAATTTTGAAGCTACATTTTATGTATACTAGAATTGAGCAAATAAGTACATTTATTATAGATCATGAGAACCAGAGTTCTCATAATGTGAGAAAAAAGTAAAATAAAGGAGAAAAGCTTGAAAAAATTATGTTGTGTTAGACTAGAATTGGAACTATCAGCAAGAAGTCAAGGTTATTTACAAAAACAGATAGATAGAATAAATATAGATGTTTGTACACCTGCGCTAGTATACCTACATATGTACGTACATAGTTCATATTTTGACTTTGCCCTTATGAGGCCTAGAAGTAATGCACAAACCTAGTGTGATATCTTGGCACGTCAGTACTGTAATCCAGAGAAAGGAATCAGGGCTTCTGGGAGAAATGCTCCCTTCTGGAGCTGAATCAAGAAAATACAAGAGGGAGGAGCTGGTGGTGCCAGAAGGGAAGGCCATGCTCGCAGTTGGCAGGAGCAGGCCAGCAGGTCGTGGGAGCCAGCGGGAGGGAGCTCTCAATAACAATATGGGGCAAACGAGGCAACAAAATAAATAACGATAGTAAAGAATTAAAACCCATAGAAAAAATAAATATCTATGAGTCTATACTGATACACGTAAGTAACTGAATGAGTAAATAAACAAATGAAGGACAAAGGATAGCTCCTGCTTATGGTAGAACTCAACTTAATGAATGTTGAAAGAATGGTGAATATACATAGGCAAACACTACAGTAGTAATTGCTATAAGCAAGAATCATCATCAGTAGATGCTAAAATTAGCATTAAAAATGACATGGAAGTATGATGAGAATATATTTGCAGAGTCTCAAAAATATCTCCCCAGGTACTTTGTAATTACAGAGGTAAAGAGTAGCTTTATAGTGGAGAAATCTGGCAGACACCACCTTAAGCAAGTGATCAAAGTTAACCTCATAGCACCAGTTATGTGACATCACAGATCCCTCGAGGCAACGCACTGAGGGCGGCAGAGCATCACTTCAGTGGCATTCTTGCCAAAAAGAATAGCCTCAATCTTCTTATGAGGAACCATCAGAAAAACCCAAGTTGAGAAATAGTTTATGAACTAACAGCCTGTTCTCTTCTAAAGTGTCAAGATCACAAAACAAAAATAGAAAATGAGGAGCTATAAAAACTGACAGAGGCTAAGGAAACAGTGATGGCAATGAGAGATCCTGGACTGCATCCTTGATCAGAAAAGAACACGAGTGGGAAAAATAGTGAAATGTGTAAAAAGTGTGTAAATTAGCTAAGGGTATTGTATCAATGTTTAACTTTTGTATAAATAATTATTCTATGGTTATATAAGATAGTAACATGACGAGAAGCTTGGGAAATGGTATATGAAAACTCTCTGTACCTGTTTTACAACTTCATTTGTAAGTATAAATTATTTCAAAATTAAGTTATTTTTAAAGAGAACCAGAGGATTAGTCTGTAGGACAGCCTTAAAGGGGCCACAGGACTTTGAAAACATATAGGGAATAAAGTTCAAGGATAGAAAATAAAGATTTAGTCCCTATTATAAATTCATGCTGAGCTTCTGACTAGAAATTGTTTTCATCCCATCTCCTCTCTTGCAGACAAGGTCATACCGTGGACATGGCACCAGAGATCCACATGCCAGGCCCAGTGTGCCTCATTGAGAACATCAGCGGGCAACTGGTAGTGAACCAGGAAGCTCTGAAGACCCTGTCTGCCTTCACACAGCCTCTGGTCGTGGTGGCCATTGTGGGTCTCTACCGCACTGGCAAATCCTACCTGATGAACAAGCTGGCCGGGAAGAAAGAGGGTGAGTGACACCAGCAAAGCTCTGCTGAGTGCTTTCTCTTCACCCACACTCCCAGCATGAGTATGAGTCACCAGGAAAGGTGGAGATGGGGAGGAATATTGAAATCTACCTTTCAATTCACCATGAGCTCCTTCCCTCTACTCTGTTCTGGAGAGTAAGGGTCAGCTCACTCTTTCTTCTCACTTTGCCTTCATTTTCCCCTTTTAACTATAAATGTGCCTTTTGGGAGAAATAAATTGTAATATATACAATTAATATACATAATATAATCTATCAAACATTTACTCAAAGGTCTGTGTGTTAATATTTAGCTTGTACACTATTTTTCTTTTTTTGTTGTTGAAAAATTTTTTCCATTTTTGTTGTCTCTTTTTTAAAGCTTGCATTGATCTTTAAAATAAAATAAATGTTTCACTTTGGATTGGATACTCAATTACTCCATTTTTCTGGTTGTAATTAAGAGCAACGCCTATTATGGTTTAATTTATCTCTTTCAATTTTGATTTATTAACTTTTATCTCAATGTCCAATACCACCTGGTATTAATAAATCCAAGTCCTGTTATCTCCTCTCTCCCTGCAGGCTTCTCTCTGGGCTCCACAGTGCAGTCTCACACCAAGGGCATCTGGATGTGGTGTGTGCCTCATCCTGAGAAGCCAGACCACACCCTCCTTCTGCTTGACACCGAGGGCCTGGGGGATGTAGAGAAGGTAAAAAATGAACCTTTTAAATCCTACTCATGTCAGATCAGTAGCCCTCTTGTATTGCCCAACCCTCCCCTCCTTAAACTCCTTATTTATGTTTCCAACTTATCATATTAACATATTATTTCTTTCATTTACTTAGTAGTGGTCAACATTTGACCTAAATCCAATTTGAAGCCAACCAAAATGAGCTTTATGTAAAGAAAGTAAACATAAAGTATGACCATAACAAGCTAATTTAAGAGTTGTTGCATATTCTGAACACTGAACTTCACCTGGCCACTTTACATATATAAGCATTGAGAGTGGGCAAAAGGTCAACTGATAGGTTATACAACCCGTAAAATAATGGCTAATGACATTTTGAGTCATTTTTCTTAATATCTTAGAAAAATATTTTGTTGAGGTTGTGAAGGTGCCTCTAAACCAGACTAGATATTTTACAAACATGTCTGACTTTTCACAGTGGAACCCAGAAAGACAGGCAGAATGGTCTTATCCACAGCTCAGAGAAGCAAAATATAAGATCTTATTTCAATAGCATTGTTCATAAAGGATTATACATTATTACTCTTATAAGTCTTAGACCTAAAAAAATATATTACTAAAGGAGCAAGCATATTTTAACTACAAAGAACTTCCTTACTTTGGCATGTCATAGGAATGTAATAGAATCACAATCTCAGTTCAGGAGATCTGTTTGAAATTTATTACCTGATCATAATAGTTATTACTATCACTTTCATATACATTCATATGCGATGCCATATTTAAATTGCACAACACCATGAATTTAATGTTCATAAATTTATTATATAGATGGGAAAATATTTGTATGCAGAAATGACTGACTTAAATTTCCACAGCTAAATAGAGACAGAGCTGAGTCCGACCTTATCTATCTAAACTGAAAGCTTGTTGCTCTTCCTCACTGTCCTGTGTGGCTTCTACAATGGTGTCTAGGGAGATAACCAGAATGACTCCTGGATCTTTGCCTTGGCCGTCCTTCTGAGCAGCACGTTTGTATACAACAGCATGGGAACCATCAACCAGATGGCCATGGACCAACTGCAGTATCCTTTTTTTTCCAGTGGTCCAGAAAAACCGAAATCTAGAAAATGACAGCTTCATATTTTCATCAGGTAGAGTGGTGTGTAACTGCAGAAGAATTCATAAGTCCCCTTCTTAATGACTCCCATTATGCTCAACATCCAAGTTTACTTCCATCACACCCAGAAATCCAAGACTTCCTGGTATCTCAGATTTTATTGTACTTTTGTTTACTTATTGATCATCTCCCTCACTAGAATGTGAGATAGTATCCTTAGATACTTAGTGGCACAAGGCTCTGTAGATCCCCTATTGGACTTAATCTCATTTCCAATGCCAAACTCTCAACATGCTCTAAAACTCATGCTCTCATTCAGCAAATCTCTACATCTTTACCTCTCCTCTAAGTATGTTCTTCTGAGTTTTGTCTATACCTTGTGGACATTGTTTTCCTTACAGACCTCTCCAATGGTCTCAGTGGTGATTGTTTTCACCCATACTTTGTATGTTATAGGTCCCAGAAAATTTAGGTAACCTCCTTGCTCCTTATGACTACAGATACTTTCTCATTCTCTTCCCATTAAAAAGAGGAGCTCCTGCCCAGCCGGTGTGGCTCAGTGGTTGAGTGTCGACCATGCACCAAGAGGTCGCCAGTTCAGTTCCTGGTCAGGGCACAAGCCCAGGTTGTGGGCCTGATCTCCAGTTGGGGGCATGCAGGAGGCGGCCAATCGATGTTCTCGCTCATCAATGTTTTTATCTCTCTCTCTCTCTCCATTCTGTCTAAAATCAATAAAGAAAAAAATATTTAAAAAGAGGACCTCCTTTGAAGGACATGCACTGAGACTGCACCATCCCTCATTACTGCAGTCATCTACCAACTTCCTTGTAAACACACCCTTCATTATTAAAAATTTTAGCTCCTAGTTCACTGTATCCTGAGAAACTTTATCCACGAGTAATATTCATCTAACACTCTGATCTCTCAGTTTCATCACCTCATAGCTTATCCTCCACTCTCCTACATCACCTAGTTTTGGTCATTATCAACAGCTTCAACATTTCTATAACTTAGTTTCAACTATTGTCCTGTTTTAGCTTTTGTAAAGGTTACCTTCATGGTCCTACATCTAATAGTTAATTCTCATACTATTAGACCGCTCATTAGCATTTGGAAAACTTGGTTGTTTTTTGCATAGAATGTCACCCTTTCCTATTATTCCACTTTCCTCATTGGCTATACCTTTGCTGTTTACTTTGTTGCATATTCTTGGCTTCTAAATATTACAGCTCTTTAATTCTTGAGCATCTTCTACTCTTCCTCTATTCTCAGTTCTTAAGTGATCTCATCTGACTCAAGGCTTTTAGGCACCTGTGTGTCAGTTACCATATCCTTGGTATATGCAACCATGACCACTGCTCTCAGACCCAAACTTGTAAATCTAGCTATTTTCACAGCATCTCCATTTAGACGGTAAGACACATCTCAAACTTAACATGTAAAATAAACAGAATTCTTAATTTTTCTATTCAAAAGCACTCCTTCACTATCACAGCAAATTCCATAACCTTCACACAGGTTCTTGGATCAAAAACTTTTTATTGATCCCGGATGATTTCTTTCTTTATATCTTAGAAACTACTAGTTGGCAAGTCTTGTCAGCTCTACTGTCATAGGTATTTACACAGGCTGACCAGCTCTCACCACTTCCTGCACAATAACTCTAAGCCTGTCTTCTCTCCTCTGGGTTACTTCCTTAACTACCTATCCCCTCTCTCTGCTTACACTCCTGCCTCTCAGATACGCAACACCAGTCAGAATGATCTTTTAAAACCCAGCATCAAGTCATATCCCTTCTGAGCCTAAAGCTTCCCAGTGGCTTCTCATTGAGTTTAGATTAAAATTCAAACTCTTAATGGCTTACATGGTCTGTACCCTATCCATTCTAGGACTTTGGCCCTAGCCAAATTGGCCTGCTCACTATATGTTAGACACACACTGTTATTTCTTATCTAAGGGTGTGTAAGTGCTCTTTCCTCTGCCTGAAATTCTCCTACAGTGAATTTGTTCATGGCTGACTCCCACAATTCATTCAGATCTCTGCTCAGATAACCTCAGAGAAAATTCACTTAACCACGTAAACCAGCACCACATGCAGACACAGTTATTTTCTAACCTTTAGCACTGTTCGTTTTTCTTCAAGATAATTATTATCAATATCTCAAATCTTATTTTTTTTTAGTTATTCATTATTTGTCTTTGTCTTTCTGACTGGAACATATGCTCTATGATGGTAACACTGTCTCATTTACTGCGATATTCTTAATCTCTAGAACAGTGCCTGGTTCATAGTGAGTGCTCTATAGATGTTTATGGAATGAATGAAAAAAATGAATAAATGAATGAATGAACTAATTAAGGAAAAAAATAGTTTAGCTGAGCTTTAGGAGAAAATATTGCATAAAAAATGCTACTTCTTTTCTGTGGTTTTCCTATATTAGTATCTCAGCTATGTAACAGAGCTGACTGATCGAATCAAGGCGAAATCCTCACCTGATAATAGTGAAGTTGAGGACTCAGCTGACTTCATGAGTTTCTTTCCAACCTTTGTGTGGACTCTAAGAGATTTCTCCCTGGAGCTAGTAGCAAATGGACAACCCATTACTGCTGATGAATACCTGGAGTTGTCACTGAAACTAAAACAAGGTGACTAGGACTGATCATTGTGTGACAAATAGAAAACAATATCAAACTGACTATGTATGTGTAGGTACTAAAAATTATAATTTTGTAACTGTTTGATTCTGGCTCTTCTATTAGAGGAAATGAAAACATTCCTTGGCTGAACCAGATAAATCCAATTTTAAGTTATCTCCCTCTTCCTGGAGAAAAAATTCTCTACCTTTCAATTTTTTTTTTCCTGACCCATCATGAGTTTGTTTTTATCTCTTTACATAGGATTTGTGCAAATTACACAGTTGAAGTGCCATATATTTGAGGCATTTAGTGTAAAGTTGTTCTACTTCTAATTTTCATTCCTGTAGGTACTGATATAAAAAGTAAAAACTTTAATGAACCTCGGTTGTGCATCCGAAAGTTCTTTCCAAAGAAGAAATGCTTCATCTTTGACCGTCCTGCTTCAAGGAAGCACCTTATCCACCTGGATCAGCTACAGGAGAAAGATCTGAACCCAGAGTTCAGGGAACAAGTAGAAGACTTCTGCTCCTACATCTTCAAATATTCTGAGGCCAAGACTCTCTCGGGCGGCATCATAGTCAATGGGCCTCGTAAGTTCTTCTCACTCCCCACTTCTTACCTGGACTTTCCTTCTGTCCATTCTGGAGAATAAAGGAGGGGGGTAAAAGGGTTACTTAGGACAAATACATAGTCTAATGATGCTCAAGAAAGCACACCACAAAAACTGCATTGCGAACTTTATGTGGCAAGTAAAACTATTTCTGGTGTTATCTAATATTTATATGAGTAAGGCGAATAAAGGAAAAGAACTAGAGTCCATCTTTGCATAGTAACCTCTCCACCAACTTCCCACACCTCTATTTATGAAATGTTCTTCCACAAGATCTATATAGATTAACAAAATCAGGAGAAGGCAAATACTCCATTGATGTGAGGTTTTGCTATTGACCTTAGCATAAGTCTCTTATTCAGCAATTCAGAAATAATTGAATTGACTAGAAATGCCTGCAAGGCACCAACCCTAGGTAGAATGGTAGATAGAAAATATGTTATTTCTATCCTCGTTCCAGCACAACAGGAGTAAAGGTACTGAAATTTTAACAATTATAATGGTAAATGAAGAACAGCACAATAAATCAAAATAATAGGCTGCTACGAGAGAGTAAAGAGTAGCCTGGCCAGTATGGCTCAGTGGATAGAGCATCATCCCATGCATCAAAGAGTCATGGGTTCAATTCCTGGTCAATGGCATGTACCAAGGTTGCAGGTTTGTTCCCTGGCCCCAGTCAGCTGGGGTGCATGTAGGGGGTAACTAATTGATGTGTCTCTCTCACACCAATGTTGCTCTCTCTCTTTCTCTCTCCCACTCCCTCCCTTCCACTCTCTTTACAAAATAAAAATTAGTAGAAAGATATCTTTGGGCAAGGACTAATAAAGAAAGAAATGTAGGCAGGTGGGAGATAATTTGCATTCAAAGATAGAGAATATTTGTATCTTAAAGTGACATGTAAGCCCAGTGTGGCTCAGTGGTTGAGCATTGACCCATGCACCAAGAGATCACCAGTTTATTCCCTGTCAGGGCACATGCCCGGGTTGTAGGCCAAATCCCCAGTGGGGGGGGGGGGGGCCATGCAGGAGGCAGCCAATCGATGTTTCTCTCTCTTCCTCTCCCTTCCTCTCTCTCTAAAAATCAATTTAAAAAATGTTTAAGTGACATATAAAATGATAACTTAAAAATGAGTATGAATTTACCAGAATATTAGATGGAATAGCTTTGCAGACAGAGATAATATCATGTGAGAAGGACTGAGACAGGAAAGAACTCTGCAACTTCAACAAAGTGAAAGAAAGATACTGTGCTTTGAATAAGAGTACAAAGCACAAGAGTAGCATCACGACTATAGAAGCTTGCAGGGTCAGTACTTGAAAGAACCTGTAGATGACTTCAAGGGGATTAGAGGTTAAACACAAATGGGACAATCTTGAGGAATTTTACACAGAGAGGTAAAACTATCTAATTTATATCTAAAACTGCCTTTCTGGGTATTTTGTAGATGACGTGTTGGAGGGATGTAAAGGAAGTGATGAGAAGATGGCTGGTATTTGCAATATTTTAGTAGTAAATGAGGATTTTATTAGGCTAAGATTATGGTAATGGAGACAATCGAAATGGACAGAATCCATACATGTTGTGAATATCAACTCCATAAGGCGTGATGATGTGTGGGGGGAATTAGGATTCTAGAGTTCTGAAATTAAGCAACTGCTTGAATGGATGTCATTCACTGGGATTTCCTGGGATATAAGACTTTCAATGCAAAAACCTGCAAACCTGGCTGAGTTCATCACATTTCATGTAGCTCTGATGAGACAATATCTAGGAATACCTATTTATTTAAGTCAGACACAAGACTAGTGGCCTGCTGCAGGCATACACACACACACACTCACACACTCACACACAAACACATGCACACACGAATTAAGTTTTCTCCTTAGCCTTCTTCATAAAGTGATAGGGAACAGAAAGAAAGGCAGAGAAAAAGAAGATGTAGAATGTTTGAGAAAGATCAATACCTAATATCTTGGTCCCAAAATATTGTATTCTGATCCATTCATTGCAATATCTTCCTTTTGGATGCGAGAAGGAGAAGAAAAGAAAAGCTTTAAACTTCGCTGAATCTAGAGGTTAGCAAAATAATCCATCACTACCCTCCCTCAGAAAATCCTTAAACTATTGTTTGTGACAATAGAAAAGCATATAAAATATTCTAGCAGTTGATTCTAAACAATTAAATAATTAAATTTACATTCTAAGGAATAAGCAGATTATGGTTTGTTCCTCTCCCTCACCTCCTGATAATTGCTATTTTTTAATAAAAATTCTCTTCGGTAGGACTGGAGAGCCTGGTTGCGACCTATGTCAATGCCATCAGAAGTGGGGGTCTGCCCTGCATGGAGAACGCAGTCCTGGCCTTGGCCCAGATCGAGAACTCGGCCGCAGTGCAAAAGGCCATTGCCTACTATGACCAGCAGATGGCTGGGAAGGTGCAGCTGCCCACAGAAACCCTCCAGGAGCTGCTGGACCTGCACAGGGACACTGAGAAAGAGGCCATCGAAGTCTTCATCAAGAATTCTTTCAAGGATGTGGGCCAAAAGTTCCAGAGGGAATTAGCGGTATATATGCTGTTCTAGATCACAAGAGGCAGAAAAATCTGGGCCTTCCTAGACATGAATAGTTCTACCTAGACCCAAAGATAGAAGCACTCAGTTAATATATACTCACTTGCAATCATTCCTAAAAGAATAGAATACTCCAGCGTCAGTTCTATAGACCATGGCACCATAACCAACTATTTATTACAAATATCCTCTTATGTTAATTTTTCTTCTCTGGATGCCATATTTTCAGCAAATGAGTACATTGTAACACTGTGTTTATATAAAATTATTTTAATTAATTTTCTCTTTTAAAGTTAATCAAAGGTACAGTACTTTCATGTTCCCTGCCAACAATCTGGTAGAATTCAACTGCTTTTGAAAACATTAAAAGTGTTTTGTCTTTAGTAAAGCAATGGCAAAATTTTCAGAAAACCAAAAAAGTTGAACCAATCATAAGATGCTACTTAAGAATGTTTTCAAGTCTGAGTCCTTACAAATTAAAAAAGAATTGTTGAATGACAATCCCTCCCCTGGCTTGCAAGGCAGAATTTTATAAATTTTACCTTCCTGCATTTAAAGGTTCCAATGAAATTAGATAGTCACTGTAAGCAGACAATGGACACCCTTCCGGACTAATGGAAAAGCTTAATACAAATAGTTCTCTTGAATGATTTTAACATAGGTAAATGTATTTTTATTAGGCTTTCTCAATAGTGAAAATTCCTGGGATAAAATCTTCATTACCTTCCTTAGCCTTATACTGACAAAATCTACAAAAATATTTTCATTTTAAACATTATATCAATAATTATGGTCTTTTTCCTGAGCACTTATGAAAAAGTCAGTGGGTTTAATACATTACATCACTGCATATAATACTGACATGAAATCTATGAAATAGACATAATTTCCCCTGTCTTGCCAACAAGGAAACTTCAATTCACAAAGGTTGAGTGTCACAAAGCCACAAGTGGTGACCCAGGGGCTCCAGGCCTGCCTGACTCCAATGTGTGTGCTCTAAACCATTTGGAATTGGACTTGAAAGGAGAAGCCTCATGTGGAAGAGTGTCTGTGCTTTCAGAGCCATTGTCTGGAGCAGGAAAAGTAGGGAAGGGAGCTTCAGATGATCACAAGCAGAGAAGTAGAGGTATTTTTTAAACCTAGCACTCTTCTTTGGGCTACTCTGGAGTCTCGCAGCCAGGTCAGGGCGGGGGGAGGACTGTCTGCATGCCATAATCTCTGCAAGAGAAGCATTTCTCTGTGGTCTGCGCATGGTGACATCCTCCTCGTGGCTGACTGTACCACCTGTGTTCTTTTGTCACTCCACAGAAATGTTTACTAGCAAAACGCGATGACTTTTGTAAGCAAAACGTGAAAGCATCATCAGATTACTGCATGACCTTACTTCAGGATATTTTCAGTCCTCTTGAAGAAGATGTGAAGCAGGGGACATTTTCTAAACCAGGAGGCTATTATCTCTTTATTCAGAGGAAAGAAGAGCTGAAGAATAAGTACTACCAGGTGCCCAAAAAGGGGATACAGGTAAACTACCTACTGAGTCCTATTTCTGAGAACTTGCTGAGGTGACTCTTTTAAACTGCACTGGGGAACAGCTGAAAGGTGACTGGTACATAGTGCCTCTGCCCTCACTCATCTACCCTCTGATTTATTCAGTAAGAGAGACCACCACGGGACGGAGATCATGTTCCTCCCTGGGAGCCTTCAAAAAGAAAAAAGGTTTCTAGAATTAATTCATTAATTTACTCATCTATTGATTCGATAATCATATATTCAGGTCTAACTCTATATCTCGTCTTAATCAAATTTCTGGGGCTAAGGCAATATTTTAAAAAGTCATCTCAAAGTATTTACCAGAAGTAAACAGGCTATAGCTTACAGGCAAACGTAATAGTAGTTAACACATATAGAGCTTGTTGTGTTTCAGGAAATGAAAGGGCTTAATTCATTCAATTCTCACAATAACCCCACAAGGTACATATTAGTAACCCCATTTTATAAATAAGAAAATTGAGACACAGAGAAGTAAAAGAACTCATCCAAGAACACATAGGTACAACTGGAGTGCAAATCCAGATAGCAGACTGTGCTCTTAACAATTTCTTTATGTTAGTATATTCAGGTTATATCCGTTAAAATTAAGTTTGAGTACATGTTAATTTTAAAAAGAGTGGTTTAGAAAAGACAAAAATTTCTCTCTTGTGTGCAAGAAGTGATGAAGAGGGAGTCCAGGTTGATGATGACAACTCCATAATAATATTGTTCTCAGGCCTCTTCCTTCATTCAGTTCTAGCCCCTTAGCACACAGTCTCTTGCTTTAAGGTCCATTTATGGCCTAAGATGGCTGCTAGAGTTTAACCCACTAGTTTCATATTACAGGTGGAAAGAAAAGAGAAAAACAGTACAGTAAAAGATCTCTGGGTCCGCTCTCTTTAAGGTGATTTCCAAGAAGTACTGTAGCCCTCTGCTTAAGTGCTATTGGCCAGAATGTAATCCTTATGGGTACCCACTACCAGGGATGTGGAACAGAAAATACAATTTTTATCATGGTCCTCAATCTGCCCAGGTGAAAAAGAATTCAGAGTTCTGTTACTAAGGACAAAGGGGAGAATAACATTAGGATGACTCTAGCAGTTATCATCACTGTGACAAAAAGTGCTCTAAAGGAAAAAGAAAGGAGATTATAGACATAGAAGAGGAAGGAAATGTGATGCTATTTTATATGTATGTTTTCACAGAAGACCTTTCAGGTAAAGTGTTGTTTCAGCAGAGTCTTTACAGGAGTGATGGAGTGAGTCAAATGGATATCTAGGCCAAGAACGTGTCCAAGTGGAAAACTCAGAAAAGTACATTGGTTTACCATCTAGGAATAGCAAGGAATGTGGCAGGAGGGCAGTGAGTCAAGGAAGAGGTAGAAGGAGATGAGGTCAGGGGGGTGTTCGAAAGCCAGAGTCCAGACAAGGTAGTGCCTTGGAAACCACGGAGAATACTGGAATTTTATTCGGAAAGTGTAGGAAAATCAGTAGAGGGTTTTGTGCATACATGTGACGTGATCTTTCTTAAAACCATATAGCATCACACTAACTGCTCTGTGAAGAATGGACTGAGGAGTAAAAGTAGAGAAACCAATTCTGAAGTGAATGGAATGGTCCACAGTGGTTTTCTAAACCACTCTTCTTAAAATTAATATGTACCCAAACCTAATTTTAACTGATATAACCTGAATATACCAATATAAAGGAATAGTTAAGAGAACAGTCTGCTATCATTACGATGTCTGGAACCAGGGTGCTTGGGAGGAGCAGCTGACAAGCACTGGGTTCTGGTTGGTTTAATTTTGAAGATAGAGCAAACATTATTAGCTAATGATGTGGGATGTGTTATTTAAAAAAAAATACATAAAGATATATATATTTACACACACACACATACATATATATCTCAAAGGGTAACTGTAAGGTTTTTAACCCATACAGTTATAAAACCAGACTTACTAATCAAATTACTAAAATTGGGGTGATAGGGAATAAAACAGGTTCAAGAGGTGATCCAGAGTTGGCTTTTAGGCCAGTTTAGTTTGAAAAGCTATTTGAATTTTACAATAATTGTTATATAGGTGATAACACTAAATTGAATTAACACATGCATTGCTGAGTTTTGTTTAAATCCATAGTCTCCGTTTCTTGATTCTAACTTCCTTTGCATTACTAGGCAGAAGAGACCCTGAAGAAATACTTGGACTCCAAGGATAACGTGGCTGATGCACTACTACAGACAGACCAGTCACTCACAGAGAAGGAGAAAGACCTCGAAGGTGTGAACCGCCAAAAACACTGGTTAGACAGAAAACCCTAGAAATCACATTAGTTATCCAAACTAGTCCACCTGAAATCATTATTATAAAGCAAAGAATAGCAAGTATAGTTCATAGTCCTAAGGGATTTTTAAACTGCTATTTGTGGTCATCTTTTGTGTACTCAGTACAAAAATTATCATCAGAAATTTCCTCTGAGAAATAAGACTACAACAAAGGTGCAGGGGGGGGGGGGGGCAAAAGGCAAAATAAGGCTGTAACAATTTAATCATCATGTTTCTCTGCTTGTTTTTCTTTCTAAGTGCAACGTGTGAAAGCCGAATCAGCAGAGGCTACAGCAAAAATGTTGGAGGAAATGCAAAAGAAGAATCAACAGATGATGGAGGAGAAAGAAAAGAGTTATCAGGAACATTTGAAACAATTGACTGAGAAGATGGAGCTGGACAGGGCTAAGTTAAAGGCAGAGCAAGAGGAGAATATAAGTCGTAAACTTCAGGTATTCCATTCTGCCATCATCATTTTATCTTCCAAGGCATTGAATCAAAAACACTGCTTAGAAGTTAGAGCATATGTCACAGTAGAGAATTTTCTAGCCCAGCCCTGGCCAGTGTGGTTCAGCAGATAGAGTGTAGGCTCCTGTAATAAAGGGCCTCAGGTTTGATTCCCAGTCAAGGGCATGTACCTGAGTTGCAGGTTCTATCCCCAGCCCCCATCAGGGTTTTGCAGGAGGCAACCAATCGATGTGTCTCTCTCACATTGATGCTTCTCTCTCTCTCTCACTCTTTTCTTTCCTGTCTATCTAAAAATCAATGAAAAAATATCCTTGGGTGAGAATTAACAACAAAAAAAGGGTTTTCTGGCCCAAACACTAGTAGACACTTAATTCTCTTATTGCTTTTCCTGATGACCATCTCTGGTTACTAAAGGGTATTTACTTACAAAATAAAATTTCATGGATCTTTTATGATCAAATCTAATAAACAAAAGCTACTTACTGCAGGCACTGCACAATGGCTTTACAGTCATTCTGTGATCAAATGTTCGTTATGTTGTAGGTACCATAGGTACCATGTATTCTCATTTCAAATGAGGAAATTACAACTTCATGAGAGATAAGTAATGTTCCTGAATCCTGCCTTGTGGAAGAATAGCTGGTCTGTCTATCCTACTCAGTAGAGTCAATGGTGATTTTGTTTCTGTTGTCCCTGGTATAACTTTATCTCTGTAGGCACCCTAATGAATAGGAAGACTCCATGATCAGCTACACAATTAATCATATAACTATATACCCAGGCTGCCTGTATCTTCCTGTTCTCCATTGTTGAGTCCTAATGTCCAGAAATACAGTGTGGACCAGAGCAGGCGCTGATCTCTTCAACATATTCCTGTTATTTTGCCACAAAGTTTTGGAGATTGTACTAAGTTCCCTAATCAAACAGCTGCCATGATTCTGAATTATGTAGTAGCCTTTCCAATGGAATTTTCTTATCTTTCTTACCTTCTTAGACATGTTTTGGAGAATCAACACTACCTAGATCAGAGTTGAAGAGAAACAAAAATAATGGATTTTCCAGAAAGACTGCTGCGTTTGGGTGAAGCGGGCCAAGAATATGATTCTGGGTCACTAACGTTTTTTTTTAATTTAAGGGAAGAGCATTTCTCTAGCTAAATAAAGCCCAGAAAAATTACTGGCAGGCATATAAGACTTCAGAGAGAGTGATATAATAGTTGTTAAGAAAGGCACAATTTCAAAAGTAAGGTTCAAAAACTCATGAGGGACTAACATAGGTATTGACACAGGGAATAATCAGGCAAATGTGGGAAATGTTTAAATTGTGTGAGTCAATTTCCACCTTCTCTTTCAGGAACAAGAACGGCTTCTCAAGGAGGGATTCGAGGGAGAGAGCAAGAAACTTCAAAATGAGATAAACGCTCTACGCACAAGCAGACATGTGACCCCAATATGTAGCATACTCTAAAAATCCCAGGGACATAATTTCCTAGCCAGTTCCCCTCCCCTCCATTAGGAACAACCTGAAAGAGCAACTTCAGAATGTGAAACAATTGCCACTAAACTAAAATTAGAATCATGGTGATTGCAATTTTGTTCAGCCATAAAATTTGAAAAGATGAAATAAACTGTAAAGGCAAAATTTTCCCTACTGAGTGATTCAGTGCATGCTTAATTATAGTAATAATGATTAGTACAATTCTTAACTGGATCCTATGTATGAAACCAAGTCTAAAGACCCTTAAAATTGTATAATGGAATGCATTTTACAATGGGGAGCTATCAGGCAGGTTCTGTTGAAGGTAGATTTGCTTTCCCTCACATACATCACCCTCGTAGATGTTCTAAGCCCCATGTTGTTGCTCAGGGTTTACCTTGGTCTTGGGTGAGGGTTGGAGTGTTGTGACATAGGACAACACTTCTGATGGAAGCTGAATAGAGTCATGGGCACAGCTGATCATCACTGTTGCAAAGTGGTCATTGGCTTATGGGCTGGCTGCAAATAAAGGAGACCCAGGACAACTGATTTCAAGGTGCAGACAGTGTACAGTTCTTGTTTGGGTGGCAGCAACATGGTCTGTAGCGACTCTAGGGTAAAGGTAAAAGAAGTACTGCCTCTGTGCACAATGATTAAAGGGGAGTGCTTCACATGTGCTGTCTACAAAATTCTTCTGGGTAATTACCATCCTGTCCATGGGCCACCATTTCTCTTTCATCTGCTCTCTTTTCCTTAGTCTTTTCCCTCCCACAGTTCAGAGAGTAACTTCTCCAGGCACAGAAAGGGAAGTTTGAACTCAAACTTGAAATAAATTCATTTTTATTTCTCTGAGAACCATAACTATAATCCTGCAAAACCTAATCCTGGACTCTAATTTGGTGTTTGCCTTTCTACTTTTGTGTTGGAACAACATTTTGAGGGGGGAAAATGAACTTTGACTTTGAACTCATACCATGTGCAAACATAAATTTGAGATGAATCACAGTCTTCATTGTTAAAGCTAATACTACAAACCTTCTAGAAGAAAACTTAGAAGAAAATCTTTCTAATCTTGGGATAGGTAAAAATTTCTTAAACAGGATATAAAATTATCACTGCATACAAGAAAAAAAATAAATTAGACGTTGTCAGAATTAAAATATTCCATAGCTATTATACACAACACAAGAAATAACAAATGCTGGTGAAAAGGGAACCCTTGTGCACTGTTAATGGAACTGATATTCATGCCACTACGATGAAAAACAGTATGTAGGTTACTCAAAAATAAAATAAATGAGTAAAACAACTCTATGATCAGCAATCCCACTTCTGGGTATTTATCCAAAGTAAACAAAACAGTATCTCAGAAAGCTATATGTATGCCAATACTCATTGCAACATTAGTTACAATAACCAGGCTACAAAAACACTCTAAGAGTTTTTGACAACTGTATGGATAGAGAAAATGTGGCATATCCATATTTATCATTATATACATGTCTATATCTATATCAAGATATAGATTATATATATAATGGAATATTACTCAGTCATTATAAAGAAGGAAATAGTACCATTTGCAACAAAATAGATGGGCCTTGGGAACATTTGTTAAGTGAAATAAGTCAAGACAGAGAAAGACAAATACCAGATGATCTCACATATATGTGAAATGAAAAATAACCCACCAAAACCAAGAGAATACATTGGTGGTTGCCAGAGAGCAGAGGTAGGGAGTGGGAGAAATAAGTAAAGTCAAAAGACACAAACTTATAGTTATAAGATAAGTCATGAGGATAAAATGTACAGTATGGCAACTATAGTTAATTATATTATACTGCTTATTTTAAAGTTGATAAGAAAGTAGGAGGATTCCAAAATGGCAGCGGAGTGAATGGAAGCTACACAGACCATTGCCCAGGACAAAACTAAATTACAACAAAAATAAAGACAAATCGTCAGGAAAAAGCAACAGAAAAGCAGCTTGGAGAGCCATATAACCAGGGACACTGACTCAATCTTGGAAAAATTTCAAAGGCGTGAGAGGGGGGCTGGGAGCCCACAGACAGCAGCGGCCTTAGCTGGGAGCAGCGCCCTTGGGGTTACACTCCCAAGCGGCTCCAGAGCGCAGAGCCAGGACAGATGCTAAAACAGCTACAGCCACTTACCTTGGGCTCCAGCAGAGGGAGGGCAGACTGGACTGGAACTGTGTGGGGACACTCGGGATTTGGAGGGGGCACAGAGCTTTTGCTGAGTTGTGGCCACACAGGACAGTGGCCATCTTACTCCTTCCCAGGGCTCTGGAGAGAGGCTGTGGCCTCTCCCTTGGAGATTCAACCCCACCCAGAGGAAATTGAAATACAAATTGAAATTCATTAACAACCAGCATCTGCCCACCCTCGGGAAATCCCCTTACTCTGAACACCTGAGGGAGTTTTTCATTCAACTCAGAAGCCAAGGCTCTTCAAGTAACTGCCACTAATAGCCTCCAGGCAAAAGCTACAGATTAAGTGAACAATTTCTGGGCTTGAAACTCTGCCCAGGAAGGTAAGACTTCACAGTGGTGTTTAACATGGGTCCACCCAACTTATCCAAACCCAGTAGAGGGTGCCACAAACAGCACAACACCAATACCCATAGGGAAAATTTGGCAGGCTCCAAAGCCCACTGTGATAGCCAAAATGGTAAAATAAAGAAACAAATGCCCAATTAAAGAACAAGAGACCTCTACTAAAGATGAGATAAATGAGGTGCAGTTAAGCAAGTTATCAGAGGTAGAATTCAGAGCCATGATCTTGAGGAAGCTTGACAGCATGTGTAAAGACATGAGTAAAGACATAGAAATGTTCAAAATCAACCAGTTAGAAATAAAAAACTACCAAGAAGAAATGAAGAATAACATATCAGAAATAACATATTGGAAGGTCTAAACAGCAGAGTACAGGAAACAAAGAACTGGATCAGTGAATGAGAAGACAGGGTAGAAAAAAATCAACCAATCAGGAAACCAAAAGGAAAAAACAATTAAAAAACAGGAATATAGCTTAAGAGAACTGTGGGACAACTGGAAAGGTAATAATATTCGTATCATAGGAGTCCCCAAAGAAGAAGAAAATGAGCAAGGGTTAGAGAGTATATTTGAAGAAATAGTGAGAGAAAACTTCCCTAATTTGGTGAAGGAAGAAGGCATTCAATTTCAAGAAGCACAGAGAGCCTCAGGTAAGAAGAATCCAAACAGGCCTACACCAACACATAGTAATCAAAATGCCAAAAATTAAAGACAAAAGGAGAATCCTAAAGGCAGCAAGAGATAAGCAACAGGTTACCAACAAAGAAACCCCCATAAGGCTCTCAGCTGACTTCTCTACAGGAACAGTATGGGCCAGAAGGAAATGGCATGAGGTACTCAAGGTCATGAAAAACAAGGATCTGAATCCAAGACTACTCTACCCAGCAAGGCTATCAATCAAAATAGAAGGTCAAATAAAGAGCTTCACAGACAAAAAAAAAGACTATGGGAACACATTAGCACCAAACCAGCAGTGCAAGAAATGTTTTTAAAAGCTACTGTAATTATCAGGGAACATAGGAAGAAAAATATAAGAACACTAAATAAAAATAGCAATAAATAAGTACATATCAATAATCACCTTAAAAGTAAATGGATTGTGATGCAGTAAAATACACAGATTAGGTGATTGAATAAGAAAGGATGACTCATCTATATGTTGTTTACAAGAGACCCACCTCACAACAAAAGACTCACATAGGTTGAAAATGAAAGGATGGAAAGAAATCTTCCAAGCAAATAGAAAAGAAAAAAAAAAAAAGCTGGGGTAGCAATACTCATATCTGATAAAATAGGTTTCAAAATGAAGGCCATAACTAGAGACAAAGAAAGCCACTAAATAATATTGAAAGGATTTATTCAACAGAAAGATATAACCTTGAAAAACATATATGCACCCAATATAGGGGCACCAAAATATATTGAAAATCTTCTGGAAGACTTCAAAGGAGAAACCAATCACAATACAATCATAGCAGGGGACTTCAACACCCCACTGACATCACTGGATAGATCCTCTAGAAAGAAAATTAGCAAGGAAACAGAGACTATAAATGAAGCACTAGACCAATGGATTTAATAGATATCTACAGAGAATTACACCTCAAAACTGCAGAATTCACACTCTTCTCAAGTGCACATGGGACATTCTCAAAGATAGACCACATGTTAGGACACAAACTAAGTCTCTCTGAGTTCAAGAAGATTGAAATCATCTCAAGCATCTTCTCAGATCACAATGGCATGAAACTAGAAATCAATTGCAACAAGAACATGCAAGGACATTTCAACATATGGAGGCTAAATAGCATGTTAATACACAATGAATGGGATACTGAGGTGATCACGAAAGAAATTTAAAACTTCCTGAAAACCAATGAAAATGAAGACACAACAACACAAAATCTATGGGATGCAGCGAAAGCAGTTCTGAGAGGGAAGTTCATAGCACGACAGGCCTACCTCAAGAAACAAGAAAAATCTCTAATAGACTATCTAAATTCACAACTTAAAGAACTAGAAAGCAAACAAAAAGAAAACCCCAGAGCAAGGAGAAAAAAGAAAATAGTAAATACCAGAGCAGAAATAAATGATATAGAGACAAAAAAAAAAAAAAAATTCAAAGGATCAAAGAAACAAAGAGGTGGTTTTTCAAAAAAATAAACAAGATTGATGAGCCCTTAGCTGGACTCACCAAGAAACAAAGAGAAAGAACCCAAATACACAAAATCAGAAATGAAAGAGGAGAAGTAACAACTGACACCATAGAAATACAAAAGGTCATTAACAACTACTATGAACAATTATATGGCAACAAATTCGACAATCTAAGTGAAATGGACAAATTTCTAGAAACACATAGTCTCCCAAAATTTGACCAGGAAGAGAGAGAAAACTTGAACAGATCAATAACAATTAGAAAATTGAAGATGTAATCAAGACTCTCCCACCAAACAAAAGCCCAGGCCCGGACAGCTTTATGGGGGAGTTTTACCAAACATTCAAAGAAGAACTAACACCATTCTTTTCAAACTGTTTCAAAAAATTCAAGAAGAAGGAAGACTTCGAAACTTGTTTTATGAGGCCAGCATAAATCTAATTACAAAGTCAGAAAACAACACTACAAAGAAAGAAAACTATAGGCCAATATCCTTGATGAACATAGATGCTAAAATTGTGAACAAAATACTAGCAAATCGGATCCAGCAATACATCAAAAAAATTATTCACCATGACCAAGTGGGATTCATCCCAAGAATGCAAGGCTGGTACAATATTTGCAAATCACTAAATGTGATACACCACATAAATAAAATGAAGAATGTAAACCCCATGATCATATCAATAGATGCCAAAAAAGCCTTCAACAAAATCCAACATCTATTTCTCATAAAAACGCTCAGCAATGTGGAAATAGAGGAATCATATCTCGACATAATAAAGGTCATATAGGAAAGACCTACAGCCAACACCATATTCAATAGGCAAAAATTAAAAGAATTTCCCTTAAGAACAGGAAAAAGACAAGGATGCCAACTTTCACCACTCTTATTTAACATAGTACTGGAAGTGTTAGCCACAGCAATCAGACAGAAAGAAAAAATAAAAGGGATCCAAACTGGAAAAAAGGAAATGAAACTGTCATTTTTCTCATATGATATGTAGAAAACCCAAGACTCCATAAAAAATTTACTAGACTTAAATGAATTTGGCAAAGTAGCAGGATACAAAATAAACGCCAAGAAATCAATGGTATTCTTATACACCAATGATAAAGTCACAGAAAGAGAAATGAAAAAAACAATCCA